GGCCCAGTGTTTGTGTGGCTGGGCTACTGAGCCACCAAGGAGACCCTGAAACAAAACATATATATATATGTTCAATGCCTCCACTATAAACCTTCCCTATTTTAAAATCTTATGTGTTAAAAAAATCTTTAAAGATCAATAAAGTAAAACAATTTTTAAAAATTGAAACATACCTAAGAGGAGAAAACATTTCACAAAATGAAAAAAAACTACCCTTCTATCTTTTGTGTCTAATGTGTCTTTGAATGGCAGTCTTCCATTCTTTTTTTAAATAGTTATTTATTTACTTGAAATACAGAGTTACAGAGGCAGAGAGAGAGAGAGGTTTTCCACCTGCTGATTCATTCCCCAGATGGCCACAAAGGCTGGAGCTGGGCTAATCCAAAGCCAAGAGCCTAGCACTTCTTTTCTGGGTCTCCCATGCGGGTGAAGGGGCCTGAGCACTTGGGACATCCTTTGCTGCTCTCCCAGGCCACAACAGAGAGCTGGATCGGAAGTGAAGCAGCCAGGATTTGAACTGGCCCCCATGTGGGCTGCTGGCACTGCAGGCGGGCGGCTTTACCCAATACACCACAGTGCTGGGCGCCCCCATTCCTTTTTTTTTTTTTTTTTTTTTTTTTTTCACAGGCAGAGTGGACAGTGCAAGAGAGAGACAGAGAGAAAGGTCTTCCTTTTTGCTGTTGGTTCACCCTCCAATGGCTGCCGCGGCCGGCACGCTGCAGCCGGCGCATCGTGCTGATCCGAAGGCAGGAGCCAGGTGCTTCTCCTGGTCTCCCATGGGGTGCAGGGCCCAAGCACTTGGGCCATCCTCCACTGCACTCCCGGGCCATAGCAGAGAGCTGGCCTGGAAGAGGGGCAACCAGGACAGAATCCGGTGCCCCGACCGGGACTAGAACCCGGTGTGCTGGCGCCGCTAGGCGGAGGATTAGCCTATTGAGCCACGGCGCCGGCTACCCCCATTCTTTTTATATTGAATGAGTGGATGCTTCAAAATGTGGAGCTAGACTCATTCTTGAATAGTGAATTTTTTAATATTTTAATTTAAATCTTAATCAGTTTTAACAGATTCGGTGTGATTTGTAGACACAATTCTAAGAACAAAATGATATTCTCTCCCCCCTTCCCTCAGTCCACCCTCCTCCTTTCTCACTTTCTTTTTTTTCTTTTTTAGTTTTCGAGATAACATATTTTAAATTTGCACTATAATAAAAATGCTCAATACTTTACTGAATAAAAAGTTTCACAAATAAAAAGCAAAAGACCCCAGTTCAGTGGGACTATAGCTAATGGCTATAGACAATAATTGAATGGAAAAATGACCATTTTGTCCATATACAGTAAGTTTTAAAGTAATCACAGATCACCAAAACTATAGTAGTAGCATCCACTATTCTCATGGTTAAGAATAGTGACTTCTAGTCAGATAAAATTTGTTTTAATTATTTTTTTCTGACCATATATTTGTGTCTCAGAAATTTTTAGGTTTTTTCATTGCTAGATCACAGTGTAACTTTATTAATGTTTCATAATATTTAAAATTCTTGTTTTAAAGATTTTATTTATTTATTTATTTAAGAGGTAGAGTTATAGACATTGACAGGGAGAGACAGAAATAGAGAGAGAGAGGTCTTCCATCTACTGATTCACTCTCCAAATAGCCACAACAGCCAGAGCTGTGCCAGTCTGAAGCCAGGAGCCAAGAGCTTCTTCCTGGTCTCCCATGTGGGTGCAGGATCCCAAGGACTTGGGCCATCTTCCACTGCTTTCCCAGGCCATAGCAGAGAGCTGGATTGAAGAGGAGCAGCCAGGACATGAAGTGGCACCCATAGGGGATACTGTTACCACGGGTGGAGGCTCAGCCCACTACACCACAACACAGGCCCCTAAAATTCTTATTTATTGTCTGCTTTTCTTCTTCTTCTTTTTTTTTTTTTTTTTTTTTTTTTTTTTTTTTTCTTTTTACACGCTAATGGGACAGTGAGAGAGAGAGAGAGACAGAGAGAAAGGTCTTCCTTTGCCATTGATTCACCCTCCAATGGCCGCCGCGGCCGGCGAACTGCGGCCGGCGCACCGCGCTGATCTGATGGCAGGAGCCAGGAGCCAGGTGCTTTTCCTGGTCTCCCATGGGGTGCAGGGCCCAAGCACTTGGGCCATCCTCCACTGCACTCCCTGGCCACAGCAGAGGGCTGGCCTGGAAGAGGGGCAACCGGGACAGAATCCGGCGCCCCGACCGGGACTAGAACCCGGTGTGCCGGCGCCGCTAGGCGGAGGATTAGCCTAGTGAGCCGCAGCGCCAGCCACATACATTATTCTTATTTGATATTTAATACATCAGTTAACTCACAAAGGAACACATGACTTTGCTGACAACTTCAATGATTTATAATATTCAGAAAAGAAACCAAATCACAGGTGTAGTAACATCTGTGAACCTGAGTCCTTTCTGAGGATGCCATTCAGGGACTCTTTATCCTTATTTCGTTATGCGATTCCAAAGACATTTTGACAACCGGCCACAGATTTTAAAGCAGGAAACCCAAAGATGGAAAGGATATGGCCCAGGTCAAGCAGAATACGAACCCAAGACGTGAACGCTGCTTCCACAAACAGAAATCCCTAAGAGGAGCAGAACAACCAGTCATCCAAATGCAAAACCCAGCAATCTGATGCTGCCTGACACGGGAGTCATACACACATGCACACATTAATTATCACCGAGATGACCCCTCACAGCAGCGCGGCATGGAGCCAATGCAGCGAGGACATGGAGCCTTCAAGGAGTGTGCAGTGATGTGTAGCTTCTTCTATTCCAGGGGCAGGGAAGTAAATACACATTTTAGTAGATGATGAACATCAGAAGCAAGTTCAGATAGTTTCTTTTTTTTAAAGATTTATTTATTTGAAAGTCAAAGTTATGCAGAGAGAGAGAGAGAGAGAGAGAGAGAGAGGTTCTTACTCCCCAATTGGCTGCAACAGCTGGAGCTGTGCTGATCTGAAGCCAGGAGCCAGGAGCTTCTTCTGGGTCTCCCACAAGGGTGCAGGGGCCCAAGGACTTGTGCCATAATCTACTGCTTTCCCAGGCCATAGCAGAGAGCTGGATCAGAAGTGGAGCAGCTGGGTTCAAACCAGTGACCATATGGGATGCTGGCACTGCAGGCAGCCGCTTAACCCGCTACACCACAGCGCCGGCACCAAGATCAACTATTATAGAGTCCCCATATGAGACAGATGATGCAGTTCTTAGTTTTCTGTGGCTGACTTATTTCACCTAACATAACGACCTTCTGTTCTATCTGTGGTCACAAACTATAGGATTTCATCCTTTCTATGGCTAAGTAGTGTTCCATTGTGTATATCTACACCAGAGTTTCTTTATCCATTCTTCAGTGGAAGAAGTGGAAGTCAAACACACAATTTATTTATGTTTCATATGCTTATACATATAGGTATTTTACACACTTTGTGTGTGTGCTTGACTTTTTTTTAAAGATTTATTTATTTGAAAGTCAAAATTACACAGTGAGAGAAGGAGAGGCAGAGAGAGAGAGAGAGAGAGAGAGAGAGAGAGGTCTTCCATCCACAGGTTCACTTCCCAGTTGGCTACAATGGCCAGAGCTGTGTCGATCTGAATCCAGGAGCCAGGAGCTTCCTCTGGGTCTCCCACACAGGTGCAGGGGCCCAACGACTTGAGCCATCTTCTACTGTTTTCCCAGACCATAGCAGAGAGCTGGATCAGAAGTGGAGTAGCCAGGACTCGAACCAGCGCCCGTATGGGATGCTGGCACCGTAGGCGGCGGCTTTACCTGCTAAGCCATGGCACTGGCCCCGATAGTTTCTTAATAGTGTAACAAAAGTGAAGGTGATTTAACGGGCGGCTCTCCTTTGTTTCCTCAGGTCAGACAATCAGATAAGTGTCTTTTCCAGGTAGAGAAGTGGATTTCAGAGCATCTCATGACGAGAGCCTTTTCTGGGGAACTTAAAACCCATCGGCTTTCACCTCTAGAAACGGGATAAAAGCTCCCCGATTTTTAAAGCCTCACATACTGGTGCCATTAACTAAGCATCTTTTCTTGGGGTAGATATTAGTTTAGTGCCTTTATAGGCTTGTCCCAGGCTTTTTAAAATTAATTAATTTATTTATTCATTTCATTTGAAAAGCAGAGTGACAGAGAGAGAGGGAGAGACACACAGATTTCCCATCTGCTGGTTCATTCACCAAATGACTGCAAGAGCCAGGATGAGCCAAGCCAAAACCAGGAGCTAGGAACTGCATCCAGGTCTCCAAAGTGGGTGGCAAGGACCCGAGCACCTGGACCATCCGCTGTTGCCTTCCCAGGTGCATTAGCAGGGAGCTGGATGGGAAGCAGAGCAGCTGGGACTCTAGGTGGTACTCCTGTATAGGCGTCCTTAACCTGCTGCAACACCTGCTGCGTTCTTAACCTGCTGCGCTCCCCCTGCCAAGGTGCTTACTTCTAAGAGCAACTGTAAGAGGAGGCAGGAGGGAATCTCACCATTTTCATCCAGGTTGTTATTCTGTTTGAATACAAAGTAACCCACTACCCACAGACAGACAAGGACCAGTGAGAACTGTGGAGAATAAGTATCGAAGGGGTGTTTTATAAGTCCCTGGACTTGCAACACCTGTAGTTAGTGGCTTTTGCAGGAATCACTGGTTATGTAATACGGCTGAGATCTATTCTGGACATTTATACCTTCCTTTCTTGACCATTCCCACCTATGGTTCACAGTTGGTCTTGATGCAATTATTTGCCTCCATACCCGTGAAATGGAATCAGTTATATAGAGCGAGTATGGGCAGAAGTGCATTTTACTGAATCACTGTCTCCCCAACGTGGTGTTTCATAACAAAGGGTAAAAATGACTTGTTCACCATACCCGTATAGAAATTATGTTCTACCATATATACTTCTGAAAGGTAGTCAATGTTTTAAGGTCTTCTTCTACTAATTAAAAAATGTCTGTTTGCCTCTTTTTCCCAGCGGAAGATAACAGTCTGTCTCAAAAGAAGAAGGTCACCGTGGAAGATCTCTTCAGTGAAGACTTCAAAATCCACGATCCCGAGGCGAAGTGGATAAGTGGTGAGTGCAGCGCCCTTCGTGCCCAGGAATAACTTCCTCCCTCTCTGACACTGTTTGGTCCTTAGGACCCTGGGCTCGCTTCACACCTTCTCTCTGTGGCTGTTGACGGGGTCCACAGAGCTGCTTCTGTGAGCATCATCATATTACCATTCTAAGACAATAAGTATCTCAGCCTTACACACACACACACACACACACAGGCTTCTCCTTTACGGCACTGACTCACACATGAGCACAGCATTTGCTTTGTGAGCTGTGGCTCTGCTGAGGATGCTGCCTCTGTGTGTGTCACCTCCTGGAGTCCTTATTTCTCTGACAGGGATGTGAGGCGTTGCCAGGCAACAGGGACCATGGCGAGACGCAGCTGAGCTTTCCTCCCTTCTCCCTGGTCTTTATTCCCTCTTGTGCTCTTGCGTCCCAGCAGATGGAGGAACCAGAAGTCACCACTGTGATTCCTGAAGGAATGGTGGAGCCCAGGGCACAGATGCAGAGAAATTCACTTCCCTCCTTGGGCTTTAATTTGCATGAAATCTGCATTTCTTGACTGGGGGGATTTTTTTTAAGGATAGATTTATTTTTTTTTTTTTCCATCAAAACTTTACTTATAAACAGGCAGCAGGCTGGATGTGATAACATTGCACTAGGTAATGTAAACCAGTCTAAATTTTCCAAATATGTTTGCATATCTTTTCATGCTATTCTTCTCTCCACCCATATCTGTTTTCCATTGATTAATTTATAGTTGCTGGAGACATCAAGATTTATTTATTTTTTTTAAAGAGAGAACAACAGAGGAGATGAGAAATAGGGAAGGAAAGAGAGATGGAGGGAGAGAGAGGAAGAGGGAGACGGAAAAGGAGGAGAGAGAGAGAGAGAGAGAGAGAGAGAGATGTTCCATCTGCTGGTTTACTCCCCAAATCACCACAATAGATGAGGCTGGGCCAGGCTGTAGCCAGGAGCCCAGAACTCCTTCCTTATCTCCCATGTGGGTGGCAGGAACCCAAGTACTCTTGCCATCTTCTGCTGCCCTTCCAGGCATGTTAGAAGGGAGCCGGATGGAAAGCGGAGAAGCTGGGATTTGAGCAGGCACTCCGATTTGGGATGTGGGAGTCCCAAGTGCTGGCTTAATCCACTAAGCCACAAAGCTGGCTTCATGGGATTTTTTTAGACAATTAAATATAATAGAACTGGGGCATGAGGCAATATGTTCATAACCAGTGTTTGGTCCATTACACAATCTGGGTCCCCTAACTCGGTCTGAAAGCAGTTGCGTGCATTCACAGAATAAAGGTCAGTGGCTGTGCACCCATCCCTCTTCACGCTGTGTTGCAGCCTTCGGAGCACCTCATCTCCTACCTCCTTTGCTGTGGTTTGCATTTAGTCTGCACTTCAGCACAGTGCATTGAAGATTAGCCATCAGGCCACAGAGCATTTGTTTTTAAATGCCTGAGGTTCAGTTTACATCCTTGCTTTTATAATGAATGCAGATCAGAGCGGTTAGGTGACTGGTGAGGTCACAGAACTGCTCAGTGACATGGCTGTGGCTGAGGCCTGTCTCCTGACTTACAAGGTTGTGCTCTCTCCCCCATACTGTCTGGTTGAGTGACACAGTATCGTTGTACTTTTGGCTGTCAACCTGCCTCTGAAGTGTTTTTCATGCTCCCCAAACACTCAAAATTCAATTAGCAATGACTCTTCTTAGTCTCCTATTTAGGGTGATAGCTCCTCTTTTCTCCTTTGCTGTGATTTTGTGAGTATTTGACCCTCAGATGAGCCTCATTAAAAATGAGAGGAGTATTCTCAGTGTGATTTTGAACTTGACCTAAGTCGGCATGTATATACCAAGAAGCAGGAGGAGGTGGAGGAAGAGAAGGGGAAGAAGAAGAAATAATTGAGTATAAATTTATATTTAGAAGGTAGAAGCTTTTCCTCCTCTGCAAATGTGCACACTGAGTGTGAAGTTTTTCTGTGAAGTAAGCGGCTGGTCAGTTCTCAGAGACCAAGCACCATCTGGAGTGTGTTAGAAGTTAATTGTTTCCCTACACTGCCTTTATAGACCTTTCGACTTTTGCTCCCTAATGATGTACTACTTAGAATGAATGGAGTAACTTTGAAATAATTCACTGAGCCTTTATGATTGCTTTTAACAAATTCAATAGAGAGTTCACTCAATTGTTTATTTAAGTCTAAGTGTTGAGGTCCAAAAAAATTACTGAGAATGAATAGGATTATCACGTTTGTAGAACTGAGATGAAATTTAGAAATTGTTAGAACATTCATTCATTCACTAAAAGTTTATATAAATCTAAAATGTAGTTGGCAGATTTCTGGGCCAAGGAAGAGTGAATGATTTATCTATGGGACTGATTTGTAGAGGCAGACATGGAATTTGCCATCCACCACCACCACCACCACCACTGCCACTATAAACACCACACTCTCCTCCTTCCCCTCCTCCTTTTCCATCATCACCTCATATCCTCATCACATCACCATCATCATGATCACCCTCATCCTCATCACACTCTCAGTAGCACTATCATCCTATCATCAACAGAGCATCACAATCAAGATCATATTATCTGGGCCGGCGCTGTGGCGAAGTAAGTTAATCCTCTACCTGGGGCACCGGCATCCCATATGGGTGCTGGTTCTAGTCCCAGCTGCTCCTCTTCCAGTCCAGCTCTCTGACATGACCTGGGAAAGCAGTAGAAGATGGCCCAAGTCCTTGGCTGCATGGGAGATGCAGAAGAAACTCCTGTCTTCGGATTCATTCAGCTTTGGCCTTTGCAGCCATTTGGAGAGTGAACCAGCAGATGGAAGACCTTTCTCTCTGTCTCTCCCTCTCACTGTCTGTAACTCTACCTCTCAAATAAATAAATAAATGATCATACTATCATCCCAACATCATCATCAGAATCACATCATCCTCGTAACATCATTATTAGGGGGATCATAGCATCAACACGATCATTATCACCACCACCATCGTCATCTTCATCATCACCATCTACTGGACATTTACAGTGAATTGAGCAGTCTGCTAAATGCTTTACACATAGTAGGTAACTGAATTCTCACAACTACCATTACTCTCACTTTACAGATGAGAAAGCTGAGGGTTAGGGTATTTAAATAACGATAAATAGTGCATAGTAAGTAGTTAAATTTCAACTTGAACCTTGCTCTCCATGGTTTTTATAAACTATGTGAAATAGATAGAATTCTGGTCTCCTATCTTTAGTCAGTTTCTTTTGGAGTCTCACTAGCTACATTATATGTATTAACCAAGATTAAAGAAACATTGCCATTTTTTAGGTTCTGTATTCTGGCATTCCTTATTCCCGTGATGCCTATATCAAAGTAAGAAAATTCTTAGGTGATAAAGAAAACTGATGTACTCTCTCCAGAGGATGAAACATGCTATTCTTAGTACACATTCCCACAAAAGTTAAAAAACATATCTCAAATTTAGTATTGGATTTAAAATTCTTAAACTAATGTACTTTATTTATCAGGAGGAAATGTATTAGGCTGTAGTTAAGTTTTCCCTGCCCAATTTTATACTGTAGGCTTTATTCTTAATCTACCTTTTCTGAAAATGATTAATTTAACAGCCTTTAAATTCTATAATATCCAAAAGCATTGTAGCCATCCTTCACATATTTGTTGCAGTGTGCAATGTGTGTGTGTTTGTGTTTGTGCAAATGCACTTGGCTATTTCCAACCTCCCCCTCATACAACTTCCCATGACTCCCCACTGCTCTTAGAACCAGGCACACCACCTGGCCCCTAGACCTTCCATTTTCTTGGATTCTTCATGATCTGTTCACTTTTTTCTTAAAGATTTGTTTATTTATTTATTTGAAAGGCAGAATTACACACACACACACACAGAGAGAGAGAGAGAGAGAGAGAGAGATCTTCCATCTGCTGTTTCACTCCCCAGTTGGCCACAATGGCCAGAGATGGGCTGGTCTAAAGCCAGGATCCAGGAGCTTCCTCTAAGTCTCCCATGTGGTACTTGGGCCATCTTCTACTGCTTTCCCAGGTGCATTAGCAGGGATCTGGATTGGAAGTGGACCAGCTGAGAATCAAACCTGTGCCCATATGGTGTGCCGGTGCCATAGGCAGTGGCTTTTTCCACCATGCTGAATACTGGCCCCAATCTTTTTCCTTTTTAAGCATCATCTTTTGACTGCCTTCCCAGTTTTCTGTTAACCTTTCCCGACCTGGACATCTTTTAGCATTTCAAAACCCCACCTTCTTTTTCCTGACAGTAGTTCTTACATAGGATGTCCCTTCTGCTGATAACATTCCATATCTTGTTGTATCCACTTATGATCCCCGCTAGTCACCAGCTCTACCTAACATCTTTTTCCTTTAGATTGTTCCCTAATTGTTACTCTTCACACCAGGCTTTTCAGCACTGTACCAACTCTTCTAACCGTACACTCTCATATACACTGGACTTGTCCTTGTGTTACATCTACCTAGTATAATTATTTATTTATTATCTACCTTTCTTTCCACATCTAAACTCTACAAGCAAAGGAGTCACTTCTGTTTGCTTACTGTGATATCCCCAACACTAGCAAAGTACCAGGTACATGGAATCTGCTAGCACTTCTAGATGTTTTCTCCTTTCATGCTTAAATAACCAACTCATAGAGATAAGGATAGATGCAGTATTTCACAAAAAAATTTGGAATTGTTAAAAAATATTTATTTATTTATTTGAAAGTCAGTGTTACACAGAGAGAGGAGAGGCAGAGAGAGAGGTCCTCCATCCGCTGGTTCACTCCTCAATTGGCTGCAACTGCCGGAACTGTGCTGATCTAAAGCCAGGAGCCAGAAGCTTCCTCTGGGTCTCCCATGCGGGTGCAGGGGCCCAAGGTCTTGAGCCATCCTCCACTTCTTTCCCAGGCCATAGACGAGAGCTGGATCAGTTGTGGAGCAGCTGGGACGTGAACAGGCAAGCGTGTGGGATGCCGGCACTG